AAAAAAAAAAAAAGAATAAAAAAATAAAAATAAATGTACGCAGCAGCAATGGGCCCGGATTGGTGTCGGGGTCTGGGTCTGGGTCTCTGTCCGTGTCCGGGTCGTAGTCTGGTGCTTGATGCGCACTGTCGACGGCGAATTGTAAATTTCAATGAAATGCTTAACCAATACAAAAATGCGAAAGGTGGGCAAATGTAATGAAATGGAAAACGGCAAAGCCAGATGAAACGAGGCTAAAGGAAATCGCGCATGGCCCAATTGTTAATAATCGCTGGCACGACCCAAACAGTGGGTGGCATTCTCTCTCTCTCTGTACGTATGTATGTGTGTGTGTGTGTGTGTGTGTGTGTGTTTGTTGTTATATTTCATTCATTCATATGGCAAAATGGCCGACAGCACCGGAATTGGAATCACTTTGGCCGTACGTATTACACGCCATGGCCAATGAACATGTCCCGTGCTATCGGCGACAGTCGACGACGACGACGACGGCGGCATAATCTGCACTGACATTTGCGCCTGAAAGGAGCTGCCAGGATGTTCAAATGCCACATCACTCCACTGCCCACACCCACACACAAACACACTCACACTTGCGTACACACACACAATTATTGTGATTGCCATGAAATGAGTGGAATGCGGCAAATGTTGCGATTGTTTTGCAATTCTGACGTATTAATTAAAGTGTAAATTGCAAAGGAAGTTGTTCGGCAACGACAGCCGGCATCACGCTGATGACGTTGACGATAATGATGACGATGATGATGGTGGAAAAACATATTATGTTAGCCAATCTCACATACAAAATGCTTCCACTGTCACATCAAATACGAAAATAAAGATTTATGAAATTCTGTAGGCCTCGGAGCCAAAAACTTGGTAAATGTCTAAACATAGAAGCAGAATATGGCATTTTTAGCATTTTATTAATGGAGAGCCGTAACAAGGTAACAAACGAGGTTTCAGCTCGCGACTTCAATATGAAGTGAGCTTGAACGAACATGTCAAAAACGAAATGAGAACTTTTGTTTTGAAAGACGCTGAAGTTTGGGCAGGAGAAATGAGAGTGAGTGAGGATGAGGTAGAAAATGAGAGAGAGAGAGAGAGAGAGAGAGAGAGAGAGAGAGAGAGAGAGAGAGAGAGAGTGGTTAACTCCGAATTGAAAACTATGTTAGCATCTGAATCTTAAAGTTTTAGTACGGGAACTAGCAGACCTTTGGAGTGTAATACTTAGACGCTTATCCAGATTGTTTGAGTGACCACCTGATTCCATAGATCTGAGAGATGGGGATGTAATTCCTAGACGCTTCTCTAGACAGTTCGAGTGACCACAGACGCTGAATTGAAAGCTCTTATGGCATCTGAGTTCCCTAAGTCTAGGACGGGGACTAGTAGATCTCTGGGGTGTGATACTTAGACGCCTATCCAGACTGTTTGAGGGACCATTTTAGTTCCACAGACGCTAAATTGAAAACTCTTATGGCATAAGAGTGACCCAGTTCTAGAGAGGGGACTATCAGATCCTAGGTATGTAATTTTTAAAATTTCCCCAGACTGTTTGAATGCCCACCTACTTAATTCTACAAACTCTGAATAGAAAACTCTGATGGTATAAGAGTGTCCCAGTTCTAGAACGGGGACTAGTAGATCGAGTAGATATTATTACTTAGACGCCTTCCCAGACTGTTGAGTGACCAGAGTGACCAGGTTTGAG